TCTTGTCCCCTCGGCCTTTCAGGTGTGACAGTGAACGGAGAGTTAATCGGGGCACCCGCCCCCCCAAATGGCCACAAGAAACAGCGCACTTACTTTCGTACCATCACCATCCTCGTCAACAAGCCAGAGAGGTCGTATCTCGAGGTCACACCAAGCAGAGTCATCCTAGATGGCGGGGACAGGCTGGTGCTCCCCTGCAACCAGAGTGTGGTGGTGGGGAGCCGGGGACTGGAGGTGTCAGTGTCTGCCAACGCCAATGTCACCGTCACCATCCAGGGCTCCATAGCCTTTGTCATCCTCATCCACCTCTACAAAAAGCCGGCGCCCTTCCAGCGACACCACTTGGGTTTCTACATTGCCAACAGCAAAGGCCTTTCCAGCGACTGCCACGGACTGCTAGGTAGGAAGCTGCGCTTTTCCTCACGTTGGGTTTAGAGGACAGAGTTAAAGTTCTCAAGCAAAGCTGATATTGCCAATACCTTTAGTTAGATTGAGAAATTCAATAGGAATGTGGTTTTTATTATATATACAGTCTGCATATATATGTATGTATGTATATGTGTATATATATACACAGTCTATATACACACATATACGTAATGTATTATATGTTATACATATGTATGTATATGTGTATTATATATACAGTCTATGTGTGTATATGTATACAAAGACTGCATATGTATAGTCTATATACATAAATCTGTATCATATATATTACATATATGCAGTCTATATATGTATGTGTACATATAGTCTGTATATGTATTTATGTTTGTGTATATATACAGTCTATATGTACATATACATATTATACATATACATGTATATATGTAAGATATATACAGTCTGTGTATTTATGTATATATGTATACACAGACTGTATGTATGTATATATGCAGTCTGTATATACACATACATAATATGTCATATATATGTGCGTGGGTATATATACAAACTGTGTATGTATGAATGGTGTGTGTATATATAGTCTGTATAGGTGTGTGTGTGTATACAGTCTGTGTATGTGTGTATACATGTATGTATACAGTCTGTATGTATGATGTGTGTATATATACAGTCTATATGAATGTGTGTATATATATACAACCTGTGTATGTATGTATATATGTATACATGTATGTATACAGTCTGTATGTATGATGTGTGTATATATACAGTCTATATGAATGTGTGTATATATATACAACCTGTGTATGTATGTATATATGTATACATGTATGTATACAGTCTGTATGTGTGTGAATATGTATACATATGTATGTGTACAGTCTGTATGTATGTATGGTGTGTATATACATGTATATATACAGTCTGTATATGTATGTGTGTGTGTATATACAGTCTGTGTATGTATATATGTATGTATACAGTCTATGTATGGTGTGTGTATATATACAGTCTGTGTGTGTATGTGTGTGTATATATACACACAGTCTGTGTATGTATGTATATATGCATGTATAGAGTTTGTGTATGTATGTATGAACACACACACACACATAGAGTCATGCCTTGCCTAATGACAGAGATACGTTCTGAGACATGCACCGTTAGGTGATTTGGTGGTTATGTGACCATCTAGAATATCCTTGAACAAACCTAGGTAGGGTGGTCCTCTACCCACCCAGCTAGACTACATGGTGTCTTCTATTGCTCCCAGCCCACAAACCTATGCAGCAGCGACTGCATGGAATACTGCGGCAATTGCAACATGATGATAAGTATTAGTATCTAGACATGGAAAAGGTACACTAAAAATATTCAATCATAATCCTATGGGACCACCATCATATTTTAAGTCCATCATTGATTAAAATGTCCTGATGTGGTTTGTGACTGTATACGTAACATGAAAATTCGATTTCTTCCTGGACTTCTGGGTTGGGAATGGGCTTTATAAACCAGTACTGTCTCTTTAGCCTTCTGGGAAAATGAATGAGGAATTGGAGTGTAGCCACCTGAGGCTCCAATTCCTTTGCTCTCAGCAAGAAGACCCAGGCATGGGGCAGCCCTGCCCAGCGCCCAGCCTGAGCAACACCCCTCCAGGGGAGGTGCCTGCATGAACACATGCAGCAGGCAGGCCATTCTACTCAGCTTTCTTCAACGTGCAATTTCATGTGGGCCCCTTGCCCAAAAATAAAGAGCAAGTCATTGTCAGAATTCAGTTTAATAGGCAGGATTTCCTGGCTCTTGAGCTGGCCACGTTTCGTGGGGCCCAGCGTGAGCTCCCATTGCAGACACAGCTCTGTATGCCTATGGCCTAAGCAGCGCCCACATCTGACCTGCAGAGTCCTGAGGACAAGGGTCAGGGAGGAGCTGAGCTGACTGTTTTCCACCCCAACCTGGCACAGACCTGGGATGGATAGAAAGGCGGGCCTGTGACTGGGGAGAGGACAGAGGGAAGATGGAACACTACTTGCCTCTTTACCTGCCCCATCCTGTCCCCTGGACTCAGTAGGAGACTGTGGTTACTGCTATTTGCAGGTTAGGCAACTTTCTAGCATTAGCAACTGGGAAGCTTCCAGCAGTGGTGGGTCACTGTGGACAAATCCTCGGCTCACTCCTCCCTGCCCCCCAGAACACATGCTCTTCCATGACACCAGAGAATGTGTCAGCTCCTGCTGGGAGAGTCTGGTCTCGGGCTGTGGCCAGTTGTAAGCCTTCCCGCCACTGATAGCACTGAAGTTCAATTTCAGCACAAGGTTTCTGCATTTGACTGAGACGCGATGCTCTTCTTTGTCCTCACAGGTCAGTTCCTGAACCAGGATGCCAGACTCACAGAAGATGCTGCCGGGCCCGGCCAGAACCTCACTCACCCTCCGCTCCTTCAGGCGGGAGAGGGCCCCGAGGCCGTCCTCACCGTGAAAGACCATCGAGTCCCAGTGGTCTGGAAGCAAAGGAAGATTTACAACGGGGAAGAGCAGATAGACTGCTGGTTTGCCAGGAACAACGCCGCCAAACTGATTGACGGAGAGTACAAGGATTACCTGGCATCCCATCCGTTTGACACAGAGATGACACTTGGCCGGGGAACGTCCAGGGAGCTCTGAAGCTGGCAGCCTCAAGGACGTAAGTGCACGAAGGACAGTGATGTGGGAGGCCGTGGAGCAGCTCTTTTTGTGGCTTGTACTTGCCTCGGCTCCTGGCAATTAGCTGGACTCCATGACCCACCCCTGGTGCGGCGTAGATCCGACGTCTGCCTGGGCGAAGGGGAAGGGTGGGAAGCCTGCGTGCAAATGCCATTTCCCCCGACTCCTCCTTCCTGCCTCTCCCCACCCTGCCTGCATCTACAGAGGGGAGACCGGTCATCGCTAAATGCAACCAAAGTCTGTATCTTGTCCCAACCTGCTTATCCGTTTTGTTAGCCTGCTGTAAAGTAAGCCTTTGTGGTGAGGGAAGGTTGCTATGAATTTGTTTTCGTGGTGGAAATGGCCAAGTATGGGCACTCTGCTTTTTGCCTTACACTCATGCTTAGAAAGCTGTCTTTTCAGTAGTGTTGCAGCCTCCAGAGGTGCAGCCAGCCTCTACGGCAAAGGACTCTGTCACTGAGTTCAGGCCACCAACCGTGCAAGTAGCTGAAACATTTGATCACTGTAAACCATTAAGTCTTTTCTTACGAGAGGTTTTCCTTCTGCTGTGGTCTCTTGCCCTTAAAAATTAGTTTTCATTAAAAAGAAATTTGATTGAAAATAGAAACATCTACAGCTCAGATACTGATCTCTTTCTAATGGGCTTTGTACACCAGTTGACTTTGCTAATGGCTGTTCTCCAATTTGTTCCGATAAGCGAAAGGCTTTTAACTCAAAGGACAACTCCATGCGGTTGATTTTACTGGCGTGTCTTGGTGGTGGAGAGTTGGCCAAGTGAACGATGCATCTTTTACTTAGAGCTCTTCAGCCTTTGTCATAGTTCCCAGGCCTTTTTTCCTTGTGGGCCTCCAGGAGGTGATCAATTACATGTGCACAGTGCTGGGACGGGAGGCAGAGACAGCTCAGAGCAGGTTCACCAGGCCACCTATAGCAAGGAAGTCCTTAGGAAATCTAGGACTCCCAGCTTCCCTCATGTCAGATAGAAAAAAAGCCAGGAAACCAGCGTGAACAGGGGTTTTAGTTCCAAAACTTGGACAAACCTGATGCCCTAAGGAAAAGGTTAAGGTCAGAGGGGGCTTCCAGAGTCCATGAATGTCACCCGTCAGCAGACGGACACTGGGAGCACTTGGGCGAAACAGCAGAGAAAGAAAGACAGTGGTCAGGAAAGTGACCTGTTTCGATGCAGGCCAGAGTTCGAGGCTCTGGGGAACTCATAGGAGGCTTCTTCCATGGGGCCTGACACCAGAGCAGCCCTCATGTGAAATGCAAAGGCATGCTTAGCACTGGGAGGGAAACATGAGTTAAGAAAATTGTTGATCATGTTTGCCTTCCCTGGGGAAACACTCAGGCGGTAAAATGACATCCACATGTTCCTGTTGGATGCAGCGGCTTCAGCAACGAGTTCGCACTGGGGGACTGTCCGGGCCCGTCTCTCTCTGCTTTGTGAACCCACCACACCAGCGCCTGTCTGCTGTGCTATTTATTTGACTTCCGTCTTCCCAAACTCAGCTGCCTGTGTTCATGCCAGAGGTGCAAAGGCTGCCAGCCCTTGCTGCTGACAGATGCTTTCAGATTGTAGGGCTCAGAGAAAGGGAGCAGAAGCTAGAGGTAGCCAGGGGCTGGCCAGGCTCCCAGGGGCCTTCCTATCATGTAAATCATAGCCAGACAGACGGCCCCAGAGCTGGAGCCAGGTGGCCTCGTCCCCTGTGGAGCACTGGGGGCAGTGATCTGTTGTTCCAGGTGTAAGTCTCGACACTGAGGAGAAGAGGATGTTATTAGAACAGTTCCTACTGCTTGTGGTGCTACTTTATCTAAGAGCCAAGAAAAAAATGCGCTAAAAAATATCAAAGTGGGGCTTTTATTTTTAAAAATTATCTTTTACTTTAGACGAACATCACTTTTTTTCCTCCTCTTCTTTAGGTGTAGATTTATTTTGTTTTATTTTTATTTTTGGCAAATGGGATCGGTTTTAGCTGGGGATCAGTATCTGAAAGCCCCAACCCCCATGCTGATGGTATAGTTAGGACCTTTGCATTTGATGGAAAAAAACGTAGTATTTTCTGTCATCCACGTGTGTTGTGAGTAGCAAGCTCTTCAACGTAAATGCAGAGGAAGGGAGAAATCCTCTTCTCAGATGGGGAAACTCAGGCAGAGACTGCTATGGGGTGGTTTTTGCCAAGCTATGCAAAATACTTAACGCAGGGCTACACGGAAGCTCCAGAAATCATTTTGTTTGCTTTGGCACTGTTTCACCGTCTGGGCAATCATTTATTCTCCTTGGGCATTTATCAACCAGGGTGAGGTTCTTGGGAGGAGAAATCATCTAACATTCCCATTCCCTTGGTGCTGCAGCTGTGCTGAGGAGGCCTTGACTGGGAACTGGAGTGGGTGCCTCTGTGTTTCTCTAGGGAGTAACATTCAACATTTAATTGAATCATGTATCCTGATAGGTGGATTAGGAACAGGACTCATTCCTTTAAAATTGACATTTTGGCTAAACCACATACCTTGGATTGAGTGTGTGTGTCTTCCCCAAATTCATATGTGGAAACTTAAATCCTCAATGTGGTGATTCTTGGCACTGGGACCTTTGGAAGGAGATTAGATCTTGAGGGCAGAGCCTTCACGAATGGGATTAAGGCCCTTGTCAGAAGGGACATGGGAGAGATGGTCTTTTTCCTCTCCACCATGTGGGGATACGAAGAGAAGGTGGCCACTTGCAAGCCAGGAAGACGGCCCTCACCAGACACCATGTCTGCTGGTGCCTTGATCTTGGACTTCCCAGCCTCCATAACTGTGAGAAATAAATGTTTGTTGTTTAAGCCACCCAAGTCTGTGGTATTCTTGTTAAGGCAGCCCAGGCTGAGTAAGACAACAAATCATTCACAACGTGAATGATTTTGATCTTTCATGATGATCAAACATGATGAATGACCTTTTCCCGTTCTTTAAGCTTACCAGAATGTACATAAACAATGCTGTTATTAAAACTTAAAGGCCTCTTGGAACCATAAGGACGTGATCCAGCTAAAATAAACAGCAAATAAAGTAACGCAGCTAAGCAAATACTTAGAAATATAGCTTTAAATATTTATTTTAGTCAGTTTTAAATAACTGGTAGGGTATGAGATAGTTCACATTCAAGAGACATTTTACTTAGACAAAAATTGTTGAGAGAACGATGAGTAAAAACAAACAACATATTGGTCTGTTTATTTTTCAGAGGGAAAATGGAATCAGGGCTGTTGATAATAAAACTTGATGAATCTAACTGCACTGCTTGTTTCTAGGCATTTCTGAATTACACACAATGATATGTAAATGGAGTAGCGATACTGGAAGAATAATGTTGAAGTAACACAAATTATTCTAGAGAACAGCAAATTCGCAGCAGTCATTCCTGTGCTCTTCTGAAACTGTCGGATACATGCTTAAGCTTCTCAGTCCATTCCCGCCTGGGGACTCTGGCACCCCAAATGCTGATCATTATTGGGACCAGTACATTATTGGGTCTCGCACATACTTTGCCCACTATCTCGACCGGTGCTGCTTCCACTGGGCTCAGGGTCATTTCCCTCCTGGGTGCCATTTCTCACTCATGGTTCTGGCATTCCTACCTCCAGTTCTGAGATCCAGTTTTCCTGGTTCTCGTTCATATCTCAATCGAGCTATGTTACAAGCTAAGTGGGGCAACACCTGCTTAGAACCAAAACAGACAGAGGACACAAAGGAGGCATCATTAGTGGGCTGTATTAAAGAGAAAACAAGGAAACAACTGATGTCAAGGTTGATTTATCTCCACTTTTGGCATCTTCCATAGCTTTAAAATGAAGGCACAGGCTCAGTGGCTCACGCCTGTAATTCTAGCACTTTGGGAGGCTGAGGCATGTGGATCACTTGAGCTCAGGAGTTTAAGGCCAGCCTGGGCAACAGGGAAAAACCCTGTCTCTCCAAAAAATTTAAAAAGAAAAATTATTTGGGCGTGGTGCTGTGCACCTGTAGTCTCAGTTACCCAGGAGGCTGAGGTGGGAGGATCACCTGAGCCCAGGAGGGTGAGGCTACAGGCCGCTGTGATCATGCCACTGCACTCCAGCCTGGGTGAGCAAGTGAAACTCTGTCTCAAAAAAATAAAATGAAAGAGCTGGAGTAGGTAACCTCTACAATCCTGTAATCTTTACCTTCTGCCTTTAGAAAAAGATGCTTCCTAAGCTGCCACGAGATAAATGCAAAATGATTCATTCAGTGACTCCAGTATGTATCCAGTTCCAGTGTGCCTGGCCCAGGGGTTCCAAGGAAAACAAAGTTCATGCCTCTATAGAACCCTTAGTTTACAACGGGATATTGAAAGAATGTCCAGCCTGGGCAACATAGGGAGACTCCATCTCTACAGAAATTTAAAATGTAAGCTGGGCATGGTGATGTGCACTTGTGGTCCTAGGCTCTTGGGAGGCTGAGGTGGGAGCATTGCTTGAGCCCAGGAGGTTGAGGCTGCAGTGAGCTGAGGTCGCACCACTGCACTCCAGCCTGGGCAACAGAGTGAAACTCTGTCTTAAAAATTAATACCTAAATAAGAAAGAATGCAGATAGAAATAGTGTGGTCAATACTGTAAGAAAACTTGCCGAGGGCTGAGCTCAGAGGAGGGATAACTGTGAAGGTCGGAAGGGGGTCAGGAAACCGCCCCAAAGATGTAGAGTTCCATCAGCTGCAAGGAAGAGGAGGCTGGACAGAGGCAGCCACGTTTGTTTCTCATCACAGGAATATGATGTCAGGCAGCCAGGAACTTCTCCCACATTGAGGCAATCTTCTTATTCTATAGTTTCAGACATAGCACTGGTGAGCTGGTGGCCTCTGAGAGCCCACCATAGAAAACGCTTGGTGGAACCCTTGCCCCAAGTCAGATGGGTCTCCAACATGGCATCCACGTCCCCTCTGCCTCTCCTGAGATGCAGAGAGTGCCTGGGGACAGTCAGAGATCTCTGCCACGGTCATTCCACCGCTACCCACAGGGCTCCTGCCCGCGTTAGGAAGAACTGATCATTCTTCTCTCTGTGCATGGTCTTGATGGCCACTCCATTCCCCTTGAGCTGCCTATGCCACTGAGCCCCGTAGCTTCCCTCCATGGCCCTGCCTCCTGTTTCACTGAGAAAACTGAGGCAGGAACTCCCTCTTTACTGTTTGTCCTATCAAAGCGGCTGTGTCTTCGCGAGGCTCTATCATTTGGTATCCCCTTCCTTCCAGCTTCTCCCTCCACTCTGGACCCCATCTCTTCCCATGTCCTCAGGTGGTTTTCTCATTTATTCCCTCTAAATTCTCGCTTTTCACCAGGTGCTTCTCTCTTGATTACAGATACGGTTCCCAAAATGTCCTCTAGTCTGAAACTATTGTCCCTTGCTTGGACTCCCTTGGGGCTTCTACTTTCTCTTTTATTTCCTTGTTGGATTTGCTCTAGTGGCTGCTATGTGAGCCCTGATTATTTTTCCACCCTAGTCAGTTGCTTAAGTCATCAGATTCAGCTTTTGTCTTCACCCCATTAACAGAACCACGTCTCAGACGTCACGCTGCCATCTCAATGTCCCCTCCAGCGACCAGTCCCTTCAACATCCACCACATGACTCTGTTGAGTTGTTTGATCTTGTTTCCTCTGTTTCTTTTGTAGATGACTTTGTTTCTCTTTGATGAGATGCTGGATCCCTTTGCTTCTTTGGTGTGATTCTTTTTTTTTTTTTTTTTTNTTTTTTTTTTTTTTTTTTGAGACAGAGTCTGACTCTGTCACCCAGGCTGGAGTGCAGTGCATGATCTTGGCTCACTGCAAACTCTGCCTCCTTAGTTCAAGTGATTTTCGTACCTCAGCCTCCCAAAGAGCTGGGATTACAGGCGCCCACCACCACACCTGACTGTTTTTGTATTTTTAGTAGAAACGGGGGTTTCACCATGTTGGCCAGGCTAGTCTCAACTCCTGACCTCAGGTGATCTGCCTGCTTTGGTTTTTAAAAATCTTTCCTAGTCTCTTATGATAAATTTCTTTCCTCCTACCAGCCTAAAACACGGACGAGATCACTAAGGTTTCTCTTTGGTCCTCTGCACTTTCTCCCTTAGTGATCTCATCCATGTCTTAGTTTACATGTCTGCCTCTGCACACACTGGTGGCTTTGAATATACATTTGCAGTGCTGACTTCTTTCAAAGTCACTTCCCTTTAGCTATTCTGGAATCACTGCAAACTTAGGAGTTAAAGCAAACTTTCCATCTTCAAAGTGACTATATTTATATTATAGGTATTTGGGGCTGGGGATCTGGGAGGCAAGGAAGGACACATTCCAGCACCATATTTTTCTATTTTGGATTTGCAAATAAAGGTGAAAAAATGCCTCTCTCCTCATATAGATAGATAGATATGTATGCATATATATTTATACATGTATACGCATATATATATATATATATATATATATATATATATATACATGTGGTGTATTTCATGGGAAGCCAACCCAAATTAGTTTTTATTGACACAGTATTCTTCCTGAAAATTCTCTGTTAATCATATTATGTCCTCAAAACAACAGCTGTGTTTGTGCAAGAGAAAATCCAGTGTTCTGACAGCTCCCTGGGAATTTCTGGTTATATAAGTTGAAAATCACATGTACTAAGTTCATTGACATGCCCATTAAATAACTTCATTGAACTATGAGTACAAAATTCACTGTACATGCCTTTTAGAATGCTTTTTAAAAATTAGCAAATTTCATTCTAAGGGAGTAAGGGCAGTGTAGAAAATACAGAGCTGCAGATATTAAGTGTGAATGAAGGCCTGAATGCTCTATTCTTTATTTGGTTCAATTTCCCACTGGAAGTTTGCCTCTGATTTCTTGAATTGTTCAGCCACAAAGTTAACATAAGCCCTATAAATGTTAAAAAGTAAAATGTCATACAAGACCAAAGTCCAGCTTCTACTCTGAAGCTCCACAGGGAAAGTTACAGAAGAAAATAAACCTTTCCACAGGAAGGCAAAAGTGATTTGAGGCTCAGCTCAAAACTGAAGAGGGCTGGAGCCTAGGAATATTCTAGAAGCTAAAAGTTCTAGAATTTGTAGGCAACTGCTTATCCTTTCAATTTCTTTGTCTGCTCAGGAAACTAAAATGGAGCACTTTGGACATTTATGATGAGAACAACATAGAATAAAACTGTGTGTATTATTGAATGACAGTAGCATTTTAAATTGTTCATGCAATTTTCCCACCAGAGAAAATGCTTCAAAATGAACACATCCACTTATTCACTAATTCAACTAATCTTTAGTAGACACTATGTGGAGGGGACAGAGCATGCCTCCTGTCCTTCCCTGGAGATAATGTTTTGTGTAATTAGTTATGAGAAGAGGTGGACATCTCCCTGTCTTAGAGAGGTTCCAATAAAAGGATGGGGGTTTCAAAAGGAAGAGGTTGTGCCCATCTGGGGCGCAAGAGGAGCTGGCCTCGTATCTGGGTCTTACAGCACTGGCCAGCTTTGGAGGGAAAGCATGTCTAGGAGCGTTGAATCTAATAACTTATTTCTTCATTGTAAAAACTCTCCAAGGGAAAGGAAAATAAACAGTATAGGGGACAAATACATCCCCTGCCCTCATCACAGAGCTAATATGCTGCTGGCTATGAGATGTTTTAGAGGATGTCGTGTCTAGGAAAAGAGAAACATGAACTTGGAGCAGTCCTGGGTCTCCAGGCCCCCTGGAGTCTGAGGCATCAAGACAGCAAATGCGGGCCCAGCAGAGAGCCCTGGCTGCGAGGCCCCTCCTCTTTTCGTGACTCTGGAAGACTAAACAAGAGAAGCTTCTAAGTGACTGCCGTGGGCTGCTGCACCCCGAGTCCAGGATCTCAGCCGTGTCTACCCCGTGAGCATCCCAGGCCTTTCTTCACTCCAGAAGCAGTGGTTTCTGAGCTGCCTGTTTCCTTCTAAAAGTGGTGTCTGCTGTGGCCCATGCTGTTCTGCTTCTGCCAATGGCCGGGATGGGCATGGTCAGGGATTCCTGATGGGCGGCTGTGACGGGGCCACCGTAGGAAGTCCACCACCCCCTTCCCAGTGTTGGTTGTTGGACAAGGCTTTTTTTTGGAAAGAAACATGGATAGAGACGGGGTGAGTGTGGGGCCCACGGTGGAAAAGCCTTGGCCAGGCAGCCAGGGCTCTCTGCTGGGCCTGCATTTGCTGTCTTGATGCCTCAGACCCCAGGAGGCCCGGAGACCCTAGGACCGCTCCAAGTTCACTTTTCTCCCTTTTCCTTAGACATGACATCCTCGGAAACACCTCGTAGTCAGCAGCTTTCTGAAGCAAATCATTGTCAGCTGGAAGGACAATGGTGCGGTTGGGGGCACAGAGCCTCCCAGGGGTGGAGGTGGGGTGAGCACCACACCCAAGCTGGGGGTGAAATAGAGAGACAGAACTCACGGGCATACTGAGTGACTTTTGGGTGTCACTTGTCTTCCTGGGAGAGGCCTGGACAATGCAGCTATGGACGTGATTAATGAGCTGCCGGCTGCACGTGGCACAGCAGGGCAGGTAGAAGCCGGGAACTTCCTTTTCTCCCTGTCAGTTACCCATGCTCAGCTGGGGATGTGCCCTGGTTTCTGCAGAGGAGATAAGCAAGTCCAGGGTAGAACATGGAGTTTGGCAGTCGGCAAAAAGAAGGGAGGAGAAGGTACACTCGAGATGACGCCTGGGCACAGAGGGAGGAGCTCCTTCGGGTTGGAGAGAAGTGGGACGGGGAGGGTGCCAAGAGAACCCCAGGACCCGGAGTGGATGTCATTTTGGAAAAGTTTCTCAAGTCATTGCCCTTTCTCCTCTGCACATCCTCGGTCACCAGAGCTACTCAGATGAATTAAGCCTTCTAATCTGGCACTGCCTATCCTTGGGAAGGGTCATCAATTTCTGAGGTTCACTGAGGATCGCTGGAAGCCTCCTGAGTTGAGTTTCCCCTGCGAGGCGGGTGTTCCCCCCACCGTCCTCCCTGTTCATTCTTTTGTGCCCGTTGTCTGGGAGATGGTGTAGATCCCATACCTCTGGCCTGCTGGCTCATGCCCATCCAGGCACCTGGTTCTGGAGGGCAGAACGCAGGGCAAAGGGTGATGGGAGGAAGGAGGGCAAGTTACGGATCAACCAGGGCACAGAAGCCAAAGGGACCCTGGCAGATGACTGTGAGATGCTTAGCCCCTTTGAGTCCTGGACACTTTGAGCATCTGATAAAATACGAAATGTAGAGACTCCTCTCTCTCTATCTCTCTGTCTTTGAGATAGGGCTTCCTCTGTTGCCCAGGCTGGAGGGCAATGGTGTGATCATGGCTCACTGTAACCTTGACCTCTGGGACTCAATCGATCCTCCTGTCTCAGCCTCCAAGGTAACTGTGACAACAGGTGTATGCTATCATGCCCAGCTAATTGTTTGTTTTTTTGTAGAGATGGCGGAGGCGGGGTGTCTCGTTATGTTGCTCAGGCTGGTCTTGAACTCCTGGCCTTAAGTGACCTGCCTGCCTCGGCCTCCCAAAGTGCTGGGATAATAGGCATGAGCCACTGTGCCCGGCCAACTCCCTTTCTTAAAAAAGTAAAGGCTAATTCTGAGGTGGAAGTTGTGAGCCACACAATCTCCTCCTAAAGCCTCCACTGTAGAAAGTGCTTTGCTGCTGTGTCCCAGGGCAGCCGGGCTGTCCCGCCAAGCCTCTGTCCCTCGTGCTGTGACTTGGGCCTGATTCATCCAGCTGGAGGTCTGGAAAGACCCGAGCTCCGGGGTTACTCCCAACAGCCCACCCCTTGCAGTGAGCGGAGTTTTAGGCACAATATGCAGGATTGGCTTTTGACCTCCTGTGGTCACTACTCTTCAATTCCTTTCCTCTGCAGGACTTTAACATTTACGCCAAAGCAGTTCTCAAGACCTCCCTGCGAGGTCAGGGAGAGGAGAGCCTATTCTTTCTCACTTAGGGAGGGGGTCACGGGGAAGCTCACACCCAGTGACCTGCCGCCGACCACACGGTCAGCACAGAGCCAGGCCTGAGCGATCGGCTTCCAGGTGGGTTCAGTCCTCTCTGAAGCAAACACCTTGGCGCCCCTCTTTGGCGGCGCCTGCTAGGGTTACAGCTGAACAGGCTGGTAACTAAGAGAGAGTGAAACCCAGCAGGCTAAGTACAGCTAATTCCTGTCCCCATGCAGTAGGGGCTGGCTGCTGTCGCCACTGAGAGCTGGGAAAGAAAGGACCTTATTATGTGGGGTAGGAGGGGCCGGCCGGGGAGGTGTTAAGCAGAGAAAATGGTTGAAATCCTACTCGAGGCGATGCTGCCAGCCTGGCGCCTGCTGTGAGACAGTCTGATGAACTCTGATAAACCCAGGGGCACCTTTTCATACCCCATCCAGCCTGGAAACTTTAGCACCCTGTGGAGAGGGAAGGGCATGTGGGGAGGGGCGCAGGGAGATGGGGTGGCTGGAGAGGCAGGAGAAGAGGGAGCCCCAATTTACTCGGGATCCCTGAGGTCGGGCCGCTCAGCTTCTGGCTCTGGGGACTTGGGGGGTCTGCAGGGGGAGGTGCAGCATGAAGGGCCCTGTTGCAGGGGTGAGAAGAGGAGGGAAGGAATGGGCCTGGCGGCGGGAGGGCCCAGGTCCAGGATGCCGCCAATCAAACCGCGGTGGCGATGACCAGAGCCCTGGGATTGGACTCTGTGCGGGGATGTTGTCCCTGCCAACCGCCTCCCAGACAAGCTGGTGAGAAACGTCCTCATGGAAGATCACAACCAGCCTCACAAATGCCCCACATTTCCCTTTCCAGGCCTGGAGATTGGGGTGACAGCCCTTCTTGGTGTAATTGAAACTCGTGTGGTTGATCTCAGTCCTTGGGGACCACATACAGCCACGTGAGTGTGCTTCTCCTCTATAATGATTTGTACGCTAAGGATGCCGACAGCAGGGCCTTGTAGAGAGCCGTGTACACCCATGTTCACAGTCGCATTCTTTTTTTAAATTATTATACTTTAAGTTCTGGGGTATATGTGCTGGTCCTGTAGGACTGTTACATGGGTATACACATGGCATGGTGGTTTGCTGCATCCATCCCCCCGTCACCTACATTAGGTATTTCTCCTAATGTCATCCCTCCCCAATCTCCCTAAACCCTGCTATTCCTCCACTAGCCCCCCCCCCCACCTCCAACAGGCCCCTGTGTCCATGTGTTCTCATTGTTCAACACCACTTATTAGTGAGAACATGTGGTGTTTGGTTTTCTGTTCTTGTGTCAGTTTGCTGAGAATGATGGTTTCTAGCTTTCTCCATGTCCCTGCAAAGAACCTGAACTCATCCTTTTTTATGGCTGCATAGTATTCTATGGTGTATATGCATAGCAGCATTCTTTCAATTACCAAGAGATGGCAGCAACCCAAAGTCCATCAATGGAAAAATAGTAAGCAGATATAGTATAATACATACAGACAGTGGAATATTATTCTGCTTTAGAAAGGAAGGAAATTTCGATACATACCACAACATGGATGCACCTTGAGGACATTATCCCGAGGGAAATAAGTCAGTCAAAAAAGGCAAATATTGCATGATTCCACAAATGTGAACCCCAGGGTAGCAATAGAGACAGAAATTACAGTGATGGTGGCCGGTGATTTTGGGGAGAGCGAGAAGGAGAGTTACTGTTTAATGGATGCAGAGTGTCCTTTTTAAATGACAAAGAGTTTAGAGATGTGTTGCACAAGAGTGTGAATGTGCTCAATGCTACTGAACTGTACACTTAAAAATGCTTCAGATGGGCCAGGTGTGTACAAACTCACACCTGTAATCCCAGAAATTTGGGAGGCCCAGGCGGGTAGATGACCTGAGGTCAGGAGTTCAAGATCAGCCTGGCCAACATGGTGAAACCCCATCTCTACAAAAATACAAAAATTAGCAGGGCAGGATGATGGGTGCCTGTAATCCCAACTACTTGAGAGGCTGAGGCAGGAGAATTGCTTGAGCCCGGTAGGCGAAGGCTGCAGTGAGCTGAGATCGCGCCACTGCATTCCAGCCTGGGTGACAGAGCTAGACTCCATCTCAAAAGAAAAAAAAATGGTTAAGATGGTAAATTCTATGTTTTATGGTTTTTACCACAAAGAAAAAAAGTGAGCATCATAGTGATAGTAAAACCTGACAAATTGCATAATGGGCAAAAATTACAGACAAAACCTATTTGTGAATATTGATGCAGTAACTACGCTAAAAGAAAAACATACAAAAATGGTTAAAATGATCATCCTTATGTTGTGCATATTTTAGCACAATTAAAAAAGCCTTCTGAGTTCTTAACTCTCTGACCAAAATCCTCAGGGTCTGAGCAGGACACAGGGAAGAGGGAGGCTGAGGACCGGGGCCATGACCACGGCTGTGTCTGTGGCCAGGGAAAGCCCAGATCAGAGCTGCCAGAAATTTCCAGACCGTTCCATTAGGGCACAGCCTGGGATGGGCCGGTCCCAGAGCTGCACGCGCTGCCAGGATGTTGGTGATGTGTGGTTCAGCTTGGGCCCTAGATGGTGACCACCTGTCCAGGCCCTCAGTGAGACAGAGGGGACCCTGCATTCCTCAATGTGGGGGGCTTGATCCTTAAAGAGGGGAGGTCTTTGTTTCCTGAGAGGCCGGAGGCAAAGTGAAAAAGCACACATGGATAACAGATCCAGAAATATTTGTTAAATTCTGAAGGGAAATATCTAGTTTCTCTGTAGGATGGGACAGGATAGTTCTTCTCTTTTCCTTCCTCTCCTCCTAATGAGATTCTCCTTATGAAATCCTTGCAAACTGCACCTGCTCCCATCCTTCTTACTACGTCACCCAAATGCTTGCACAGAAGCCATGTAGCATAATTTTTCAAATCTCTGCTTTTCTGATCTAGCCCAAAGGGCATGACTGAAGGCAAAGTTCCCACTACATGTGTCCCTGGGACCTCCCGTTCTCACCTATAAACCCAAAACACTAGGACTGCCCTCTCCCACAGCAAGAAGCTAAACGTTGATGAAAATCATTATTCAAAATAATCAAAATGGACCAAATGATGATCTGAACATCAGATCATTGTTTCAATAATTTTACATCTTTTTAAACATTTTTTCTTTTTAATTTTTTTAAACAAATTTTTAAGTTCTGGGATACACGTGCTGAACGTTTATTCCATAGGTATACATGTGCCATGGTGGTTTGCTGCACTTATCAACGCATCGTCTAGGTATTAAGCTCCTAGGTACATGCATTAGGTATTTGTCCTAATGCTCTTCCTCCCCTTCCCTCCCATATGGAACCAAAAAGAAGCCCTTGTAGCTAAGACAATCCTAAGCAAAAAGAACAAGCTAAAGGCATCACGCTACCTGACTTCAAACTATACCACAAGGCTACAATAACCAAAAGAGCATGGTACTGGTACCAAAACAGACATATAGACTGATGGAACAGAATAGATTCCTCAGAAATAATACCACACATCTACAACCGTCTGATCTTCGACAAACCTGACATGTTTTCTTTTAAAAGAAAGAGAGGAAGGTCCTGGGTGGACTCAGGTCTATGAGATGAGACCCACAAAATGCTTCTACTTCCAAAGTTGCTTCTAAAGTTACAGTGCAAACATATGCTGCTTTCTATTCTAATACTGCAACAACAAAACGGACTTTGAAAAATGTGAAAGTGTGTGAAAGTGCTTTGTTCCTTGTGTGAAAGACCTTGAATGAACACCCTCATTAGGGGAGCTTCAGGGCGGGCATTACATGAAGCAGGTGCCCCAAGGATGGTGGGGAGAGAGAACAAATTCTGAAATACCACTCTGCCTCCAGTGGTACCTGGGCTGATAGCCCTCTGATGTCAATTACAAACAAACTACAACTTGTATCTGATTGCAAAATAATACATATTCATTGTTAAAGAAACCTTGGAAAATACAGCTGACCACAAAGAGTCCATTTCTTCTTAATTCAGTGTTTTATCTTCTTTGTTTTTTTTTTGGAAAAAGAAGAAAAGGGTTTCAAAAGAGCCCCATTTCCACATTATTGATAGGAAATAAAACACCTCTTCTGACAGTTTCAGTAAGCCACGCCAATACACAGCTAGAAAGTTATTCTCAGAGGTAAGACTCAGGACATTTCACCAAAATTGAGAAAAAGATTTGGGCCCCCGTGGTGCAGTATGACTGGGTTTTCTGCCTCCTACGAAGGGAGCAGGATCCCACCCTCACAGGCGAACATCTGTCCGATCCTCAGGAAAGACAATACGACGTCCGCTTGCCGGGAACACCCAATGGGGAATGAAGGCTGTGCATTGCAGTCCTGCTGGGCACAGTCTGACCGTGTGACCTGGGAGTAAGACCCTAGTGACTGCCTCCCAGCCATTGAGAGGAATCAGTGAACCTCACAAGGACAGGGTCTGGTGCTGGATGTCTGAGATCAAGTGCTTCAAACAGACAGCCACCTATTCCACACCTGCTCCATCAGCTGAATTTCTCTACAAAGCAGATGTGTGCAAAAACCCCTCAAATCATCACTAAACCTTCTGGGTAATGAGGATACTGGTTCCTAACTGACCTTTCTGAATAAGGCAACGAGGACATGGGAAGGACCAAGGAGTGATCAGCTCACCCCCATGATTTTTTCTTTTTTTTTTTTTTTGACTTGGCTTCTGATGCCATGAGCCTGCTGGCGCTATCAGACTCTTGGGAAGCAGAGGATGGCGCAGGTTGTGGGTGTGAGGAGGAAACCTCGTCATCTTTCTGCCTTTTTGCGCTGCGGGATGCAAAGCATGGGACTCTCTGGACCACATGCAAGCAAGTTAGAATGTGCCTTTCTCCAGGATGGGAATGGCCGCTTCCCTCTTGCATTGAGCTCTACAGGAGATTCTTTATCCACACACATCATTCCTAACGATACTGCTGCCAGCAGGAGAGACCAAGAAGCAGGGATACTTGGGAGCGACCCCTTCAGTAATCACCAAAGAAGAACCCAATCCAGCCTACCCTGTGCTCTAACGGAAAAGGGTGGGAAGCATAAGGGCAGGGTGTGAAAGGGCGGACTGTGCCCCTCCTACCTGTGCCTCACCTGGGGTGCAGCTAACCTTACCCCTTTCTACTGTTTGAGCCGAGTCACTGAACTCTTGTCTTTGTTCGGTTCTCACAGTGGAGTTCCAGTGCCCCCATAAAATCCCTGCCTATTTCTCAGAAGCAATGCTGAGACTTTCTGATTAACTTTTGCTGTCTGGCTCACATGACTATAACTCAGTCTCTGTATTCCTAAGTCCACGTAATTCATGGAACAGTCAAATTGACAGCATTTTAGGCAACCAACCATCAGAAGAAAGCTAGACTTCAGCTGGGAGTGAGGAGGCTTGGACTCCTGTCGTGTCCACCAAAGCTATACGTGCTTGTAGGCAGGCCTGTGCTACAGGGTCCCCTGGGTTTCCCTGGCTCTGGAAGGAGACTACGAGGGTGACAGTAAATGTTTAAGAGCCCTGACTACAAGTTGGTTATCACTATGAATAATAATAGTAATAATTCTATTACTTAATAATATTGTGAAGATCGGCCCCCGTCAGTGAAGAGGGGAGGAAAGCACATTGCTAGGGCCATAGATGACTTTTATTTCCTTTTTTTTTTTTTTCGAGACAGGATTTTGCTCTTGTCACTCAGGCTGGAGTGTAATGGTGCAGTCTCGGCTCCCTGCAACCTCTGCGTCCCAGGTTCAAGAGATTCTCCTGCCTCAGCCTCCCAAGTAGCTGGGATTACAGGTATGTACCACCATGCCTGGCTAATTTTTGTATTTTTAGTAGAGACAGGGTTTCACCATGTTGACCAGGCTGGTCTTGAAATCCTGACCTCAGGTGATCACCTCGGCCTCCCAAAGTGTGGGATTACAGATATGAGCCACCGTGCCTGGCCCTATTTCTTTCTTTCTTTCTTTTTTTCATTTAGCAGTATCCAAAGTTTCTACAATGAATACATACTGCTCTTATAGGTGGATATGTAGAGATGTATAACTTTTAAAATAAATATTACAAACACAATGGTAGCCTGTCTGTACCCAGACGCATGGATTATCACATGCTAACCAGCCGAAAGGATCATGTTTAGGGTCACATGGATGAGTCCATCCCTGATTCTCTTCTTGGCTTGTGACCGACAGACTCTGCCTCCTGCCTGCACTGAGGACGGTTTGTCTTCTGTTTGTACTTCCTCAGGTTATCTTCCGCCCAGCACATGATGGCCCCAAAAAAGAATAAGACATTTAGTGTTATTGTTATTTGAGACAGAAAATGATTTTGAGCAAGACCCTGAAACTGAGTTGTGAAAGATGATGAAACATGTTTTCCAATGTAAAGTTTTGGTAAGAGAAGGGGGCAGAAGGGACAGAGTGATTTGATGCTTCTCTGTTCAGTGTCTCTTGTGCCCTGTCACCTGGCCAAGCTCATTTCCAACCCTCCCAACCTCTTGCCCCTGGTCATTGGATGACGCACCTCTGGGGAAAAAGGTCCCTGGTCGCCAAGGGAAGGTAGGAAATAATGTGGGGAGCAATATTCAGGATGAAAACCTGACATGGTATGGTGGTCAGGAGTTCAAGACCAGCCTGGCCAACATGGTGAAACCCTGTCTCTGCTAAAAATACAAAAATTAGCTGGGCATGGTAGTGTGTATCTATATTCCCAGTTACTGGGAAGGCTGAGGCAGGAGAATTGCTTGAACTGGGACAGGAGAGGCAGAGATTGCAGTGAGCTGAGATCACATCATTGTACTCCTGCATGGGCTGCAGAGCAAGACTGTCTCAAAAAGAAAGAAAGAAAACAGAAAAGCATTCGGGGATGGGGGACACGATGGGTGTGGTGCCCAAAGCATCCGGATGTCCTACAAGGCTCAAGGTCATTCTGTTTCTCTAATTGATGCATTTGGGGGTTAAAGACAGATGAGTCTCTTCACTGCGCCAAGTCAGTGACAGCCACCAGCCTTCTTATGGCCTCAAATTCCCCAGGTGCCTCCTTTATTTGGAGGCTGAATCTCAAGGATAGGTAGCATCAGAACAGAATTCCAAGTCACCAGGGTTTTCAGGTTGGTCCCAGAAAACTGGGAAAGGTGTGTGCCTTCCAGAGAATACCCTGAAAAACAAGCAGAGCCAAACTCCTGCCTGGAGCCTCTGCGATGCAGACCCCGTGCCGGCCGCCCTCTGCCTTGCAGACACAGCCAGTGTTCTCAGTCACAACGACGTATCATTTTATTGCTTTGAGGGCTCCCTGAGGAAATCCAAATCTCCGAGAGACCTTCTTTGTGAAGGATGACACACAATCCTGTTTGCCTCCACCCCATCCTGAGCGGAGAGGGCTCCAAGGCCAGTTTCCTGCCCTGGCCTGCGTGCCTGGCTGGGCGACTCCATTCTGCTCTCAGAAACCCTATTGGAGACACTTCTGTTGACCAGGACAGGCACGCTCAGCATCCCAGACCAGCTCCAGCTCAGGATCTGGGATGGAGTCCAATAAAACCTCCTGACACGGTGGGGGCAAGGGTCACAGTCACTACTTAACGACAGATCAGCATCGATCCTGGGTCTTAGGCACGGAGAAGCCCTCCCTCTGGGGAGCTGAAATCCCCTCGCACTTCTACCCATTATCAGGAAACACAAGGGAACCTGGATATTAAGGATATAGCTCGAAATCGTGCATGGGAGAGGGAGGAGCGGGGCTTTGAGGGCAGCGAATGGAAATGCCATGGATGCGGCACCGAAGGGTCCGTGGCCGTGGAGACAGGGCAGAGTCTCCAAGTCCACGAGATTCCTCCAGCCTCCCAGTGCAAAGGGAGCTCTAGTGAAGTTTCATTTTCTGCCCAGATATATGTTTTGC